AACGGAGACGTAACAGTATGAAAGAAGAGGTTTAATAATATGAGAAAAAATCCAAACTAGAAACCAAGCAATAGTCCTCACATTATTTGTAGGAAGGTTCCTGGATTTTCCCTTTCACCTCCCCCTCCCAAAAAAAGAACAACAACAAAAAAACAAATTTGAACAAAAATTCACAAAACATCACTAGCAGTAGGGTAGAGACAGAAAATTGCAATATGCTTAATTGTTGGGCATACACTGTGAACAGAAAAAAATAGAATAAGCCTTAAAACATACATGAAAATAAAATCTCATGAAAATAATATAGATAACTGCTGAATTATGCCCTATGTAATATTAGATATGTTTGTAAATTAAGTGTCACCTCCAACAGTTACCAAGATTAATGTACTGATCACGATAGTTACCTGTATATACCAAAACTAATGTATTGATCCCACTGATTACATATATATATAAAGATTAGCATATTGTTCCCTAAGAAAACTATAATTTTACCTACAGACTTCTACTTACTTCTACTAAAATAAACTAATGCTTTATACAAAATTTCTAAAGAGTAAATAGCAGAAATTTGTATTTCATTAGAACATGGAATATCACATAATTGATTTGCAGTAATCATATTGAAACATCCATTATTCATTTTTTAAATAGCCATCATGCAGATGCATACAAAATTGTACTCTTGTCTGTATTTACAGCAATCTTTTTTTCAGTCTGCTTTTAAGCTCAAATACTAGCAGCTTTTTACCTAATCGTACTGTGCAAATATGTCTTCAATTATCAGCACAACTTATGGCTTAAGTTTTGACTAGAGATCTTGTTCATGTTTCCAAGTGAAAACATTTTGTCTACAACAAATAAAGTAATTGACTAACTAATGATTTTCATCTTGTATATAGTTCAAAACAGTAAGCTTGAGTTTATGGATAAAATAAAAGTAATCTGACATGAGAAAAGGTTTGCTAAAATATAAGTGAAGTAAAATATAATTTTAGACAACTTATCAGTACCCAGTTCCCTGTAATTGAGATGTCATTAAGTAGAATTACACCCCGTAAAAAACCTATTAAAATATAGATTATTCAGAAGAGGCTTGTAAAAGGCTATTTACTAGTGTGGATATAGCAATATCAGTTATTTAGCTATGAAATATGAGATACATGTAAAAAGTAAAATTGCTTTACCTGTAACTTGTAAGGTGTAGATTTAAAATGTTAGTAAAGACTATTTATTAAATCTCATATTATTTTACAAAAAGCTATAAAGTTATTTTAAAATTCAACACTTATACAAAAGTACCAGAATCAGTGGAGCATTTTTCCCACCAACAATTTGGCCAGTAAAGTTTTTCTAAAGCTTCTTTTTTTACTGAACATATTGTGTTTTATCAGTCTTACCTGACAGTGAAGTATTGTTGCTGTTAGATTAGTTTTAATCCAAGTAATAGCACTGCAGCTGGTCCTTGCTAATTTCTGTTTTGTATACTCATTGTTACATATATATATATATATATATATGAACTTAACAGACCTAAAACTTATACATTGTACTGAATAAAGTATAATACGTATAGGTACTGGATAAAAATTGTTTCCTTACCTTGTTGCATTTTCATTGGTCAGTAACAATCTACCAGAATATAGATACTTGTAATTTTATATCATGCTGGAGCTTATTTTTATAGTGTGTCAATTGGTTCTTGTACTGCAATTAATAAAACACAGCAAGAATGTACAGTGAAACATTTATTTTAAATATGTAGTACATGTAAAAATGAATATTTCATTTCTGTCAATATTAAATAATTAATAATCATATTCAACTTTCAAAAAATAAAAATTTTATACTGATTACTTGCATTATATAAAAAGAATAAAGTTATTGCAAAACACACTATTGCAATAATTACACTTCAATGCACATGCATTGAAAAGTGATAATAGACATAGCCTTATTTTATACTTCGGTAACATTTTATTAAGGTTTCCTGCCCCACAGATGTAACTTTGTTTCCAGCATTGCTGCTATAGTGATAAAGCAACTTATTGTTTTTGTGATTACATCAGGAAACCTACAATTATATGAACCAATGACCTATAAAATTCGTTTTCTTGGTAATGAGACTAATTTTGTAGTTACTCATCATTTTAAAAGTACAGACAATATTATAATGTTCTGTTACAATACTCAGGTCAGAAAAATGAAACACCTTTAATGATGTACAGGGTGTATTTAGTAAAGGAGTTTTATTTTTTATTTTTCTGACTTGAAGATAACACTGTAACAGATCTAATTTTATATGCTTATAATCTGTATGTATGTATGTTTGTGTGTGTGTGTGAGAGAGATAATCTTTAAGAAGGTTCATTGAGAAAATAAATTGATGTTCATTGTGTTTTAGTATGAGTTGACCTTTATTACATCACAGAGAGCGATTCATTTGTGTTATAGATATTTTTTTAAAATGCAGGATAAGTATAACCATTTACACTTCCTTTTCAAACAGTTGGCAAATGAAAGCTTCGTAGGTTTATAAACGAGAATTTTTCTTTTGTGAACATGTGAAAGTTGGACTAGTTTTTTCACTATTTTCCATTTAAATATGTAAAATACTTTACAAACAAAGAAAGCTTGATGGCTGTTTTATAAACCCATTGGTAAAATGAATAAGTTTTTAAAATTATTGTTGTGTATCTCTGCTCTAAATATTATTGTCATTAAAACAGGTAAACTAGGCTATAATACAGAAGAGCAAAATAAGATTTTTTTTTTACCACTTTGAATTTCATCTGTAAATCCCATGATTGAAATGAAAACATTTCCTTGCAGCATCATCATTTTACAGAAGACATTCAGACTCGTCAGTATCGATGTCTAGAAGTTTTACTAGGTGCTGGATATGGTCCCCCAGCTGATATTTGGAGCACAGCCTGTATGGTGAGTTAGATACATTGTTTTATAAAGTGTTACTTTGTAACTCTTGATACTAGTAGAGCTTTTCATTGTACCAATTTTTTTATTGTACTAAAGAATGTTATGCAAAATATTGATAAGCTTTTATGTTTTGGTTTTATACAGATATTTCACCTTCTGATGATTGTTTGTTTGTTTGTTTTTGAATTTTGCGCAAAGCTACACGAGGGCTATCTGAGCTAGCTGTCCCTAATTTAGCAGTGTAAGACTAGAGGGAAGGCAGCTAGTCATCACCACCCACCGCCAACTCTTGGGCTACTCTTTTACCAACATTATAACACCCCCACGGCTGAAAGGGCGAGCATGTTTGGTGGGACGGGGATTCGAACCTGCGACCCTTAGATTGCCATGCCGGGCCCTTTCTGATGATACAAACTGAAGTATCAGAAATTTTTCAGCTTTCAGTCAGAAGAAAATAGTGCTTTCTTTCTTTGACTAAAAAAATTATGTTTTACATAGGACATTCATTGTTTGATCTTGTCAGTCTTTTACTATGTTATAATGTTCCTTCGTTTTAATACAGCTATAATGAAAACAAGTTTTTATTAGTTTTCATTCCTCTTTATTATGCAGTTATAAAAGTGATGGCAAGTTGTAATTAATTGTAGTTCTTTAAAATTATTGCTGTAAAGATTTCAGCTTCTAATAAGAATAATTCTTACGTTGATTAGAATTAGAGGATTATGATATATTGTTTTTTTTTTGCTGTTATATTCTTTTTTTAAATATAATATAATTTTACACTTAACAACTTTGCATAAGGACCAACCCT